CCGTCAGTAAGTAATCCTTTCCGTTGTCCCAGAATAGATCCACTGCTACCTTTTGCTACGGTCGGTCCGGAATCTCATGCAGCATCATCGGTTCCTTCGTTTGCCGAGTGTCGTGTGCACGGCAAGCCTCACAGTTAGACATATGATCCTTGATCTAACCTGTCATTCCTGGCCAGAACATCAGCTCTCATTCTCGATTAATGGTGTAAGTTGCACCGAGGTGAGCGCGATGGACATGCTCCAGCATCTCCTTTCAGAGAGAAGAAGGGATTAAGGTTCGACTTCCCTTGAACAACAGACCGTCACAGACGGTAAGTTAGTCCCGAAAATTGAACTAGGGTGTTAATTCCTTTGGGAGCTGCTTCTTTGTTTTTGGCCACCCATTGAGGATAACGTCTCGCAAAGCTGCAAAAGTTTGGTCTTCCTCCGTGAAACGCCTTATGTCTTTCAAACGGTTTTCTGTCACTGCCAGATGCTGCACCATGCTAACTGTCTCGATCTCTTCTAGATGATGTTTGGCCACTGGCGGATTTGCTCTTGACAGGGTGTCCGCGATGCAAATCTGTGTGCCAGGTGTGTACACAATGTCAATGTCATACGTTTGGAGCCGGATAAGCATAAGCTGCAGACAGCGAGGAACGTTATTCAGTGGTTTAGTGGCTATCGACACCAGCGGCTTATGATCAGTGCACACGGTTGTCGTTCTTCCAAAAGTATAATCAGTGAAACGCTCCATGGCATAGACCAATGCCAGCATCTCTTTCCCGATCTGTGCGTACCGCGTCTCGGTCTCTGTGAGTGCTCGACTGCGGAAATCCAACGGTCTGCCGTTCGGCAACAGAACAGAACCTATTCCACTCTGGCTACTATCACACCGTAACACCAATAAATAAATAAATAAATATTTTATTCTCGACAAAGCGAGACACGCCTTTTTGGGCATGATCAGCATATTGCATTATTGTAAATCATAGCGGATTAAGCAGCACCAACAGTAGGAGTAGTACAGTTGGAGACAGTAGTGTAGGCCCATAGAGCCCAAAGGTTGTATGTAGTCCGTGTACACAGAATGCGAGAGGTAAAGATAGTAATCAGATCACTTATATGGTATGTTGATGAGGAACTAGTCCGATGAGGTCCCGTAAGCAATGTAGGTCAGTGAGTGAAGTATGAGGAAACGTGTGAAAAATACTTAAGAAAAGTGACATGTCACTAATCAGATATGTAGGCGTTTTCTTGCGAGAGCAGATTTATGTACAGAACTTGTAAATGTGGTGTCGGTCAACTTGCCAATGTGTTAGGGGCGGTGACTTTATTGAGTGGCGAGTCACATCCGCCACGTCGCAGTGATGTTAAACAGACATTTGTGGCTTTTTGTAGAAAAACGCTTGCCAGACGAAGACCCACCACGTCCTGGAACACTGCCGGCTGTTGATATAACATTGGCAAGATTGTATCTGACCGATTACCCTCGCAGATATTCGCAGTTACGTAACGTCAATTTGTTTCCCATGGATGTGTAGTCGCCTTCGGAGTCCAGTGCAAGTGGTTGGAGCTGTTGAAATCGGACGACTCAGGTGACTTGTATTGTATTGATCAGTTTTCTAGGTTCTTTAGTGTGTCATGCTTATGAAGTGCGGGTTTTTTCTTGGTTCTTTATTGAATGCATGCCCATGTGAGCGTTGCAGGGACGTCTTCAGCGGTGTTCCGTGCAGGTAATGTTATCCTGTAGAACAAGGGTGAGAAGAAAACGGACCGAGCAAACTGCCAACAAGACTGAAAAGGACTATGTTATTGTATAAATATAAACTTTATGGTAAAGTTGTGCTGGCTGAAATCGAATGAGTGACCGATGAGCTGAGGCTAGTGGTACCTATACCACAATAGAATTGTTGCGCTATGAACCAAGAGAGACGCCAAACAAGAGAAGAAGACATTAATGTGAGCTGAGATGCATGATCGTGGAGCCGAGAGCCAAAATCAATCAGAGACCGGAAATTTGGATTTCGGTAGGCGTTACCAAGCATAGAGATAATGATTCAAACAAAGAAGAGTATCATAAGGTTGTAACTTATACCAATGAGAACTTGAGTCGATGGCAGCCGGTGCTCAAAATAAGGGAGGCCTTAGCTCGAGACTTATAGGCATTTGGAGCCTCAGCGGACTGACTTGGCCAAAATGTTTTGGAATGAGACTCACAGAAGAAAAGGTAACCAAAAGAGACCTGGGATGTTGCGCTGACGCTAGTGATAACTATACCGCCATTGAACTGTTGCGATGCAGACCAGAGGAGAGGCCAGACAAGAGAGTGGGACGTAATTGTGTGCTGAGAAGCATGAGAATGGAGCCGAGAGGCAAAACTCAACCATGGACCTGAGATTGCAATTTCCGTAGAACGACCAAGCTTGCAGATAAGGTATCAAACGGGGGCGAGCACACAAGGCAGTTAACTATACCAATGAGAACTTAATCGGTGGCAGCCGATCCTCAAAGAAAGAGCGGCCTTGGTTCGATGCCTACGGGCATTTGAGGACTGAGAGGCCGGACTAGTCGAAGAGGTTTAAAACTGAGTACCACAGTAGCAAAGGGAATCAAAGGAAACCTAGGATGTTACGCCGACGCTGGTGATACCTATACCGCCATTGAACCGATGCGATATGGACCAAAAGAGAGGCGAAACAAGAGAGTGGAACGTAATTGTGAGCTGAGATGCATGATGGAGCCGAGAGGCAAAAGTCAATCAGAGATCTGAAATTGCAATTTTGCAGAGGACCAAGCATACAGGTAATGAGCCAGACGGAGGCCAGTATCATGAGGCTGTTTCTTATGTCAATGAAAACGGTAATCGAGGCTCAAAGGAAGAGAAGCCATTGTTTAAGACCTATAGGCATTTGGAGCCTGAGGCCGGTTTGGTCCAGGAGGTTTAAGAGTGCGTGGCGCAGTAGGAAAGCGAAGCAAATGTGGCCTAGTATGTTGTGCTGACGCTATGGGAACCTAAACCACCATTGAACCGATGCGAATTGGACCAGAAGAGAGGCCAAACAAGAGAGGGGGACGTAATTGTGAGCTGAGAAGCATGAGAGTGGAGCCGAGATGCAAAATTCAAGCAGGGACCTGAAATTTTAATTTCGGTAGAAGCACAAAGCATGCAGGTAATGTACCAGACGGAGGCGAGTACATGAGGCAGTTTATTATACAAATGAGAACATTTGCCGACCGCAGCCGATGCTCGAATTAGAGAGGCCTTGTTTTGAGACCGATGGGTATTAAGAGCCTGAGAGCCCGGACAAGTCCAGTAGGTTTAATAATGAGTGTCACAGTTGTGCTGGATCGTAATATCCGAGTACGGGCGCATTACCCATAAGGTTCATAATGGTTGCGAAATCCAAATCCTGTTCCTTCCCCCAACTGCAATTTACTCCTTTGTGAGTTAACTGCCTAATCGGAGTCATGACATCAGCGAGTCCTGGTAGGAACTGGCTTAAATAATTCACCATACCGTTTAGACGATGGACTGCCTTCACAGCGTTAGGAGACTGCATCTCTTGTACCGCCTTAATCTTCCCTGGGTCAACCCTGATTCCGTCGGACGTTAACACATGCCCATGGAAAATCACCTCCTCGTTCCGCAGCTCTACTTTCTCGCGTTTTAGTTTGATATTCTTTTGCACGCAACGCCTCAGGAACCGGTGTAGCTTAGTGTCACGCTCTTCTGCGGTAGAACAGTAAACCAGAACGTTATCTGCCACACAGGTTACGCCATCCAAATCATCTATGGTTTGCACCAAACGCTTTTGGAAAATTTTGCTAGACACCTTCAGGCCAAACGGTAATCCCAGCCAAGGATAACGTCCAAACTGTGTAGCATAGGTGGTGAGGAAACTGGATTCTACATCTAGCACAACGTGCCAGAATGCGGAAGAATGGTCTACTTTCTTGAAAAACTTAGCTTTTGTCAAACGTGGTAAAACATCTTCTAACGTCGGTAGCGCATAATGTTCTCTACGCAGGGCCTCATTCAGTGGCTTCGGGTCTATACATACGCGTAGTTAGCCTTATTGCTTCGGAATGATAAATAAATAAATAAATAAATAAATAAATAAATAGTTTTTATTCTCGACAACGCGAGGCACGCCTTTACAGGCATGATCATTATGACAACAATGCGCGATCAAGAATGTGCAAGAATACGTTATGTTTGCCGTACCAGTGTATGTTTATGTAGGGGGTATGTAATTATGTAGCTGTGTGTGTGTGTGGGTGTGTAACTGTGAGGTTCCTGTTTGTAACTGTGCTGCTCTAAATTTTACTCTCGTATCTTCGGCAATGCTAGAGTAGAAGATGGATGTCCGTGCGTTGGAAAGGATTATTCGGAATCCCACGGGGCAGTGACTTTATTTTGTAGCGAGTCACGACCGCCACGTCACAGTGTTGTTAAGCAGATATTTGTGGCTTTTTATAGGGAGAACGCTTGCCAGGCGAAAACCCACCACGTCCTGGAGCACTGCCGTCGAACTATTTGCTGGAACGGGTTAAACCCGAACCACCAGCTGGCACCACGAGGAGGTTGTTCGGTTAGCTAGCCTTGTTCGGCTAGCCAGCCTTTTTTATTTTTATTTTTTTCTTTTTCTTTTTTGGGGGGAAGACACTTCATTGTATTTATACATAATGATGAAAAGGTTACCGGTCACTTGGAAGAACACACTCCAGCGCATTGCGTGTCGTGACAACTTGATGAAATGTTAACTCAGTCCAGGAGTTTGTTTGTTTGTGGTGCGTGATGGAGCAAAACCCAGCATCTTTTGCACATTCTGGCGAATCGACATCGTGCACAGCATGTAGATGAAGATAAAGGACCCATCTGTGAAGTCGTCACCGGGCAAATTGCGATGCGACAGCCCACGGATCCATGGAATAGGCATGAACGGAAGTTTGGCTACCACACGACCGTCGAACATATTGCTGAAGACGCTGAACAGTGACGTAAAAATGATACCAACCGCGAACATGGATTTCATTTTGACCATCGAAAACTCTCTGCTTATGTTCTTCAAACGTTCTTCCTGCTTTTCAAGCCGTTTCTTTGCTGTGCGATCAATGGTGATGCCTGTGACATCGCGCTGCTCTTCCAAGCGTTTGCTCTGCTTATCCACCTCAGATTTCAACTTTTGATACCTCTCAGTTCGGTAAACAAATAACCATGTCAGGCCTTCGCCCAGAAATGCGGTAAAGTAAGATATTAAAATGATCGCAATGGTATCCTGCAGCATGCGCGAATTAACCTGCTCGATGGGTAATGGGCATGCACTACTATACACGGCAGAGAACCGTCTGTTGGCTCATCAACCTTTGCAATCACACCCTGAATAACCAGCTTGTTCAATTCCGCGGAAAATCGGTCACGTAGCGCAAATGAGACTCTCCTGGCAGGTAACGCAATCGGCGTACCAAAGGATCTAACGACAGGTGAGCGGTACCCTCAAATTCCACTAAACCCAGGCTAAACACAGACGGATACAGGTCACTTTCATCGGCTTCACTCTGACGAGCGTACACAAAACGATCATGGTTAAAAATGACAAAGCCAAGAGATAAAATCGAAGCAATGCCTAGAATCTGCGTGAGATCCTCTTCCACGATCATGATCTGCAGACGATGCGAAACACCGTCTCTCGGATGGACCACTTCAATTGTCTCTGAGCCCATTGGCTTAAGTCTGGAACCATTTCACATGCGCAAAGAATCCTGTTTCGATTGAAGTTGCACGCCGCGGCAGTGCTTTCTGGGCAAAATATTGATCGTCGCGCCTGTGTCTAACTGGAATCGCACAGACCGTCCCTCGATCAGAAGACTTGCATAGACACACTTTTGCGACGCTTTCCGAGACACGTTACCAATCGATTGCTCGGTGTCTTCTGTTGATTTGTCTGGAACGAGTGCACGGACATCTGTCGACTGACAGCAGCGGGCGAAGTGATTGCGCTTCCCACCTTTGACCTAAATGCGGCCCCACGCCGGACCCTTTTCGCGGTTCCTCGGATGTCGTTTTGCACAGAGGTTGCAGGGCTCCTGTCGCGCGGTCGTGGCCCTCGTAGTTTTGCTCCTGGAAACGGCGCACAACTCTGAATCACCTGTGATTGTCATCTGTTGGAACTGATAGGCCGTGGATGACTCACTGTTACCGATGTCGATACACTGCTGCAGAGATAGGTTGCGCTTTCGTAATAGTCGCTTCGTCAAACCTTCGTCATTGATCCCAAGAACAATGCGGTCCCGTATGAGACTGTCCGCCATGCATTTACAGAAACTGCAGGATCGGGGCAAAACCTTTAGCTCCGTGACGTACGTGTTAACGGATTCACCTGGCCGCCTGTTCCGCGAAAAGAAGAGGTAGCGTTGAAATGTCTCGTTTGTTTTGCCTTCGCAGTATTCACTGAACTTCTCAAGAACTGTCTCCAGATTGTTGGCACCTTCGCTCTTGTCGTAACACAATGTCTCTAGCACGCGGCGCGCATCATCGCCTGCTGCGCGTCGAAACCTGGCCAAGCGGTACGCCATTGGCTGTTTGTCCAGACGCGATAAAGTGCAGAAATCCATCCATTTGCTCTTCCGCAAACGCCATTTGCTTGCCAAACTGCGTTCATCCAGGTTCAGCGGGGCAGGCATTTGAATAGCCGGTGCAGCTCCAATCATCGTCTGGGTGGTACTAATGTTCTTCTCCTTCTCTGACACCATGTTAAAAATCGGTCCTTCAGGGACAAAACGTATATTCTGCAAACAAAAAGACCAGGCGAAAACGTAGGCACAGGGCGAGTGAAACATTTCGGTATATACAGCTAGTTGGCTCCATAATTAACGACCTTTGTGAATGCATGACATTTTTCCTTTGATACCGTCAAACAAACTCCCTCCAATGCGTCCAATTGTTGGCCAATCAGCGTGCATGCGAGAAACGTGTGAACGTCCAATCAGCTGCCGCCTTTTCTTGCGGCAGCCTAACGGCTTCCTTGCTGGGTTGGCACCGCACGTTCGTTCGAGTGTATACTCCCACCACAACACCACACTGCATACCAACCTTTTGCGGTCTTGTTTTTATGACACTGACCTTCAGCGGCATAGCATTTCGGCCATCATGCACGACGCCAGCGCACCTGCTTGTGGCACTTTCAACCGTCACGACACCAGTCACTATATCCGAGAGGTCGGTGGACCTGTTCTAATCTAGAAGAAACCTCCAGGCTGCAGATGAGCACAGAGTGACCAGTTGGCCTATTAGCAGGAAGTAAAACATAGCGTACGTGCTGACAAGGAAGCCTGGTTTACCACTGGGCCAAAGAAATGTAGGAGGCTGGAGCAGTAGGCAATTACGTCAAGCTCTTCCAGCTGATCCGCACCACTGGGTCCACGAAAGCAGGCATCAGTGAGAGAATCAGTGGGCACGCGGGTGCAGTGCTACACAATAAACAGTGCCCTATGGCACGTTCGGCACCCTGGGAAGGTTGTTGGGCAAGGCAGCGCTGTAGTAGGGTAATACTGTGGAACCCGCCTCAAAAGGTGCATGGATATGATACTGCGCGGTAGAATTAGGTTTCTCTACATTCTTTAATCATATCACGTAAGTGAATATGTCATCACTGTTTTACTGACTGCACGACCTTTTCTTGTTATCTAATTTTTGTCTTCGTAGGATTCATGATTTCACTTCGGAATACAACGGGCCTTCTTTCATATAGTCGCACATGGAAGCAGACGACCATTACGGCTTGCCGGTCCGATTCTTCCTATAAAGGTCACGTAGCACACTCGCAACATCCTCCCTCATGCCGCCGTGTTGCGTAGGATCCTCCGCCGCCATCTCATCCGCCACTCCGCAAACCACTGCATTACTGTGGTTCCGACGTGGCAGCAATGGTCCCCATACTATTTTCGAAATCAGCTTCTAGACAAGGTAGGTGATAATGCCAGACCAAAAGTTTATCAATGGGGGAATTTGTACCTTCGATAGGTCAGTCGCTCGTACGTATCCTCTCCTCCTGTTAATGGGTGGCACCGCAATGAAAAATTATCAAACGTTTACCACGGAACTACGTTATTTTTTATTTCCTGGTACTTTTGTCTAAGACATTGATGACGTGAACCATGTACACTCCACTATCGGGAGGTGCGCTACATCGCTTCCATGTGATTGAGTAAGTCAAGCCCGCGTTAACACTATGCATGTTGCTTTCATGTGTGTCTACAAAATAAATTTCCATTTACCATTCCTCAGTGTTCGCGCGTTATGGGTCAAGAGTGCCTCACGCGCTCCCCATGATGACGTGAATATTCGGAATCGGTACGGACTTCAGCGCTCCATTTGTGTCACTTTTTCGTTGCCATTTCCATATTGTTACGATTACTCAGCATAATGCATTCAACGCAGTTGCAAACAATGACGTAAACAAATCAAAAGCCATGTGACTCCATTCCAGTTGTATCAGTAGCGTTAACCAAGCCCACTACTTACGTTCTTTTTGCCGCAATGCCTAAGATTACCACTGTGCATTCCCTCCTAGCAACAATAATGCCTTCTATGCGATCTATATGCATTTCATAACCACTGGTTATGGAGGCGCACTCTACCTATAGCGCAGTCCTCTCCCGTGCCGATTATGCTGCCACCAACGTGAGAGCTACGTAAACTTATGTATTGTCAGTCAAAACGCTAGAGAGCAGTCATAACTAATTCCATAGTGGCAGAATTGATGCAGCTGCTCTGGGAACAGTTAAAATCATTCCTGTGGGCGTGCAGATGCATTCTCTTTTCATTCGTTAGCAGTGCTTACTATACCGCTGCTGCTGGGTCGTTATGGTATTAGTAACCGCCCGTGTTGAAGGACTATGGTTCCAACGACGGCGATTATGCTGGGTCCCATAACGACACCAATGCTCTGCGACCAATATAGCACTACTAATAAGGGGCCCTCAAGACATGTGCAGCAAGTATATGAGGCTTCCCTAGAGCCCATATGGATGCAAACATCATGGAACCCAAGTAGCAGAAGTGAAGGCCGTTCATGTAGACTCTTGTCGCCAAATACATAACTGTGGCTGTAGGCCATAATTAGGCTTCGCTGTGGAACATACATAGGCTTACTAAGCGCCGTTCCTTTACCGCAGTGAAGTTAAAAATATCTACCTGTTTAATGATCTTTATGACACTGCTGATATAGAGCACATGATACTTTTCCATGCATCGCTCGTGCAACCAATCGCGGCCAACACTGCAGGGCGGTTCAGTGAACAAACAAATGCCACCCGTGAAGCAATCATATGGCCTTACTATTTACCCTTCACGTTCGCAGGAACATAAACCTACCTAGAATCTTGCGTATATATGTGGGCTACTTGTATGAAAACCTCGCAAAAACGTTCATTGATTTTTTCCTTCTTTGGTTTGCCATCTTATTATTCCCTACGCTTCCTATAACTTCCGCATATACTGGGTGTGATAAATTTCCATTAGTATTGTCCATAAAACGGTATTAGCTTATTAATGAGATGCGTAACCTACTTACTTTACTCCTGACACCATGGTATGCACCATTACAGAGCCCTGTTAAACTCCATGAAAACTGACAGCCACATGCTTAATTATTTATTCATTTACGTACGGATATGGTCATTTATATCTCTGTAATGAAAAAAATGTATACGTTTGTCCACTGACGTCCAGTTGCGGGGACTTGCATTAGGTAATCATAGCGGGGAATAATAACGTGCCGTCCCCTTAAATGGCATAGAACTGATGATCAGTGTTACCATAACACGCGTACAAATGTATTTCTACATAAGGATATAAGCATGTATAGCTTGGAGGAGCAATACCATTTCTAATCACGTTAAAGTGGCATAATTAGGTATGCATATATTTATAATTAAATATATGCATTCCCTTTCAGACAGCCTTATGTATACAAAAATGTGCACCTTCTTAATCTATATCGATATATATATATATATGATTGAGGTTGATAGTGCGCGCATTTAGGGATACATAATGCAGTCTGAAAGTAAATGCCTATATTTAATTATCAATATTTGCATTCTAAGTTTGCAACTTTATAATTATGTATATATGTATATATATAGCAGGTTTCATCAACCATTTATGTACCCTATGAAAGCTCATTTCGCCGTTATGAGCATTTACGCACTACATAATACCAGGGACCGACATGTATTTTCACTTCTCCTTCACTTTAGAGCGCTTAACTTATTGCTCCTCAGG